TATTGTTTATGATTCATGTTCTCAAATTCTCCTAGTTACAATGTCTATTTACAAGAGTCCATTGTAAAGTATTTATTAAATGTTGGTGTTACAAAAAATTACGGCTGATCACGAATTTTGTTTCGAATTTGAAATATTTTGCCCAGATTGTTGAAACAGAAACTGAAAATTATCTGTTGGCACAAATGATTTTCCAATATGGCTGATGCTCCATCGATATTTTTGGTGGTTATTCGTCCTCGTCGAGTCTGTACATGTCTGTAGAAAATTATTAATGGGATTGAAATGAAAGAAAAATATACAGGTATATATGGAGGATGAAATTCACGTTCATTTGATAATATTGCCTTCATTTATTCGCATTTGTAACTCTTAAGAATTGATTAAATCGACTGTGGATAATACCGATACAAAATAACCTCAAGGTTTTTTTATTGTTATGAAGATATGAAAATCGATTGTTGACAGTTTCGTAGGCATTTCAATCACCAGAGGAATGAGAATATTGACGATATAATGATGATAAAATGTTTTTCAATTGTGAGGATTAGAAATAAACAATTCTGATAGCGTAGGATTCACTTCAAGGAGTACATTCTCAAAAATTTAGAGGCTAGCATGAGTTTACTCCGTTTGTTCTTTCGTTCTAACTTCAGCATGAGTGTAATTTCGTTTGTTTTTTTCTCATATTTTTCAGTCATTGTTTATGACCAAGAATGCCGCAAAAATCAGCTGTCTCTCCCGAGGAGGCAATCGCTGTAGTTGAGAAATTTATTGTCCATTTCACCACACATCAGTTGCCACCGGAATCTTCCGATATATGGGAACAGATGAGCAAAGCATTGGGCTGTAAGCCTAATAGTCAAACTCGAAAGTGGTCTAAGAAATGTGTCTACGTGAATGTGAGAGAAGATAGACGGAAAATATTGACTGACGCCCGTACAAACCAAGAAATTATACTTGAGGAAAAGCGTAACGCAGATTTGACTCAAGATCAATCAAAGTTGAATTCATCTGTAGATGNTCTTGAAAAGTATGTAGCAGATCGAAATTTGGTGGTAGAGGTACCAGAAGACTCTGCGGGCCAAGAGCAAGATAAAAACAATTCGAATGAACGCGATCCAGACACCACAGGATATAGTCGGGTTAAGAACTATGTTGATGAGATACGCAAAACGGCCGAGGAAACAATCTCCCAGGGTATAGTACCCAATGCATTCTACGTTGAAAATTTCATCAACAGATTCATGTCTCTTGCTTACGAATTCCCACTGTGGAGCTGTTGTGGCATGCCATTGTATGTGGAACGTCATTCATCCGCCATCGTTGAGGGATATTTTTGTGAAAAGAAGAACAAAATGTTGAAAAACTACAAAGGACGTTTGCGAGTTGATAGATACCTAAAAATCGATTTGGACGATTGTCTGGGAAGAGCTGAAATTATGAAGGGAAGTTTGGAAAATTCTATCAAACAAAATATTCCTGCTCCTACACCAATGGTCAAGTCACATCCCCCCAAACCTCTCACCTCACAAAATCCCCCCAGAGCAGATGAATGGAAGGATGAGGAACCATTTACAGAACGTCCATCGTTCAATCACTCAGACACTACCTCAGCTGACAATTGGAGGAATAAAGGTACTCGAGACCGAGCTTTCGTATACGATTCTTCTGATGGAGATCGAACAGCAGAGCGACCTTCAGACAAGCCTCGTCGTACAGTATACGTAGAAGATTGTTCTGATGATGACGAGATATCTTCAAAGCACTTTGAATTTTCTTACCCCCAAAATCCTTACATTGGAGGTTCTGTTAATGACTCGTCCCAGAGAGATAATCGAGAACATGAGATTGCTGCAAGTGCTCTGAAGCGCAAGGTTATGATTGACAACAATCCGGAAGATGATGACCTTGTTATGTATTCCCCAAGTTACAACGCGGAGGACCGTTCCAAGTCAAGTGAATGTGAGAAAGGTTTGACTGAGGATTCTCTGGAAATGGTACATCAGAATGGTTCATATGAATTGCCAAGCAAAGATAGTCTGACAAGTTTCATTTTGAAAGAAGTCTTAGACATGGAGGATAATAAGAATTTTCCACTTCTTGACGATCCTGCTTTCCAGCTTAAAGAGCCTGATGTCATTGATGACCACTGCCTGCTGCATCATAATGAGATTATTGATCCAGAGAATCGAGAAAATATTCAGCCCACGAAATTTCGAGGTTTCAATCCCAAGAAGAATGAAAAGGCCAAATATTTTCGATCTTACCCTGATATAGCCAATCGCAATGCTAATCCCTATGATAGTAGGAAATCGTGGTTATTGGTTAATGGTAGTACGGTCGGTACTCTCAAATTTGAGAATACAACGTATTACGTTGCGAATACGTGTACATTTGACTCGATTGTGCAGATACTGTTAGCAAATGCAATGGACGACCGTTACTACCGGAAAAACCTGGAATCAACAGAAAACCCAACACTGCAATTTGTACTAGAATTGAGGGAGAAGGGATTGGGGAAGAATGCGAAGGAGATGTACAGGCGAAGAGCTGAAATTTTGATGTCTCACTTGAGTGGAAAAGTGGAGCTTAAAACTAAAGATCGAGTTTTGAGTTATTCGTTGAATTGTTGGGGTAACGTCTCTGCAATATGGAGTGCATGCTTAGGATCTGAGCCTAGCGCATTTCGGTATTCTACTTGTGATGCATGCGAGCAAAGGGTCTCAAATATACCTTTCCTTGGTGTTAATCACAAGACCATCGGTAGGCTGAAATTTGGGGCCCTGCAAGAAGCCTTGGAACATCATTCAAGATTGTGGAAAGTAAAATGCCGTGAAAAGAAGTGCCCTGGTTCATGTACAGTCGATATAATCCTCAATTTCCACATCTACATCGAATTGGACATTCGCCCTAATGTAAGAGCAGAGGTTTCCTTACGCTGCAAGTTGAGAGATTTTCCCATTCATCTTAATTTAGGCGGAATGCCATACAGGTAATTGCCGATTCAATTTTTCTCCCAACTGAATAAATTAAATTTCTTTAACAAATTATCCTTGCAGACTAGCCGGTGTTATAGAAAGGATTCCAGGACATTATCTAGCGTATACTCGAAGAACTAATGGACAATGGGAGAAAGCCAGTGATACCGACAATAAGATAGTTCCGAGCCTTGAAGGACATGAAATTGAACCTCATGCAGCAATTTATGTAATGGAAGAAGCGTAAATGTGCATTTTTTGAGTTTGCTATTTTATAACTTTATGTGAAGTGTTGTCGTTCTGTGGAAGAACGAATTTGTCGATTTTATATATTCGTCTATTGTGTATTGCCGTTCTACTCTGTAATTGACATAGGATGTAAGAAATTTAGGGGGAATGTGCAAGTTTTCACATGATTGTATTTATTAGTAGAATGATACTCATTTGTTTTCATACACTCAGTCAAAGACAGAATAAAAACTTGAATTGACATTTAACAGATAGGTTTCCAAGTATTATTTCATTGAATTCGGAGCGAAGTGAACCGGTTTTACATAAATAAATTATATGCTTTTCAAACTCCCCGAGTCTTTCAATGTTTCATGATGCATTTTTCGTGTTTTTCATTCCTCTTCTCCAACCACGTTCCAAATAATAATTCGAGAGCCACATCCAGAAAAATACCCATTGTTACAGGAAGTTCGATAGTCTGGAAATGAGAGAAAAAAAAGCATTCAAAGTTTAGAGAGTCAAACCGAAGCTAAAAAGTGTAAAATCAATGCTTACTCATAAAACAGCTGCTTGTTAGAAGTTGAATGCAAAAAGGGATGATTTTTCGACTGTTCACCAGACCCTTCCCGAAATTTTATTTAGTTTATTGAATCGTCATGCACTACTACCGCACTGGATTGAGGTTAATGTCAACACTGATGCACTTTTTGATCATCGAAATACCACTAGTTCGAGCTCACAGAGGGGGAATAAAGTATAATCACCAATAATAATTGGTGATGATAAATTAGGGAACAGTATGATTACATTAATGGAACAATCGATAGATTGATTTATCACACAAAGTTGAAGATCTCTGCTCCGAAATGATACTCCATGTACATACATACAGCATCAGCGTATCACGAACTATAGCTGCTGGTAGTAAAATTTGGTGCTATAGTATATGCCACTCTTAACGATTGAGAGGAAATCAATTGAAAGGATCAACCTATCGATTACCTCAGCAGTGTCTTAGGGAGGAACAAACGACGAACAAACGATTCATCAGAAGGAACAATTTAAAATGATTAGATCTTTACGTGGGAGGGGCTAAATTGAGGAAACATGGGAGGAAAAAATAAAAAATCAATTATAAATAATTGGCTGGGGAACAAACGCTGAAAATCCTCGAACAATCAAGAACAATTGACGAACTATCGATTGCATTCGTCAAAAATCAATAATTATGGTAATGAGTGGCTAACTTTGGATGGGTAAAAGAAACAGGTATTACATAAAAAAAAAATGAACTTTAGTATCTGGTGTTCGATAAACATTGGTCACTCTGTGACACTCGTGTTCAATTTTTTATTGGGCTTTTTTTATAGATTTATTATTATTATAAGGTTTTAAATCTTTGCTCTGTTGTAGAGCTTTTTTGTTTTTATTATTATGCGCTTGAAAAAAAAAAATAGTGTGAGAACAAAAAAGAAAAAAATAAGTGTGTGTATAGTACAAAAAACAAGCGCAACTTAATTAACCGACCAGGCCATCGAGGGTAATGATGACAGGAAAAAAGATAATTGCTCATATTCAATTTCACCATTTGTTCCTCGCCGCTTGTGCGTTATAATTTATTCATTAACACAATCTCCAGATTTATATTTTTCATTATTAATGACGCTTATGGTCATCATAATAAAAAAAGATGAATATTTATCATATTTCGTGGATACGATACCGATACTAGTGTACGCACCCTGGGTTACCATTAAGTGTGTACTCCGAGTAATTCACGCGCCATCACTAAGAAAAAACTCGGTCGAAAGCTTTCCATATGCCTTAGAGATCTCCCATATAATCTCTGTATGAACGACTCATCAAATGTTTTGTAACGTAGTAAATCATAAGAATAAATTACTATAATAATATAAAGACCCTTGTTGTCGATCCAACTCCTCTTCTTAACATGAACAAATGAGTGCATTGAAAGAAACATTTTTTTCATGGGCTATTATACATAATTTATGACGTACAATGGGTACTTAATTCAATTTTCTTCAGATGGAAAGTGCGCAATAAAGGAAGTATGGCTAAGGAAATTTCTAAAGACTTTCAATTTTACCGAGATCTTCCCTTAAGAGGTGATCGCTCTATCAAATTTTCAATAAAAATACGTACACCAAAAACCTGGCTAGAAAATTAGGATGCTAACATCACTTTAGCGGACTAGATTAAACCTATCACTATTTCTGCAGTTTTTATATTGCTGGAAATGAATAATTTTCAAATTTTTCCATCTTCATGTGCAAGGATTCCTTTGAAAAATAGAAAAAACGCAAAAGTAGAAAAAACATTGATTTCTTAGTCTCATCCCACACGAAGAAGTTAACATCCCACTTTTGTAAGTGAATTTCAGATCAAATTCCAGGAGAATATTTTTTGTGAACTGAACAATTTCAGAAAATTTAGGTACTTAGTGAAAATAAGCTTCAAATTTTTAAATTCCAGACATTTGTCATAATTCCCTGACTTCTCCACACCAATCAAATTCCCTGACAATTCCCGGTTTTCCAGATTTTCCTGATGGCTGGACACCCTGTGTAATCGTTAATTTTGACGATCTTCTAATTTTGCCTGGAAATGATATATAGATGTATTAAAGGGAGCACTTCAAATATTTTCAAATGTTTATTTACGAGTAGTATGCTTATCACAAGAACACTGAATCAAAATAGAGTGAAGGAGAACTGAATATGCAACTTGAAATTATAATGACATTTTTCTTCCCTCGATAGAAATGTCAACTGCTCGTCTGGCTGCTTTTATCCTCTTGCCATCCATATAATTCTTCATATGCCTCTCGAACCTGTTCATCTGCTTCTTGGTGGTACGACTGATATCCACTTCAGATTTCCACTCGGGTCTGATAACGTAATCCTTGTTGGAGGGTACAGGAACCCTGGCCCTTCCCACCCACCCTGGATCACCAGGTCTGAGTTGTTTCGCATCATTCTGCTTCAGTGCTTTATTAATATCGGACTTGTGGCCCGTATCAGCCTCATCAGATTTCCTCCTCTTCGCTGGCGTCTGCTCCAGGTCCCTCTGCATCCTCTCCTCCTTCGACAATGCTTTAAAATCAGCAGACAAATTGAATATCGGTCTCGCCCATTCGTTAATCAACTTTCCAGCACGTTCTTTATTTTCTTTAGTCTCTCGTGGGTGTTTATAAAGATACATCACAGCCTTCCCAATCCCCGATTGCTTCAAAGATCCCTGATCGATTCTGGGAAACTCCCACAGAAGCTTTAATAAACTATCACGAATCCTTAAAGATGGTAGAGAACGATCTGGCATAGGCGCCAGCCAATCAGTCAACACGGAGAGCACATTATGTTCCAGGAATGCCAACTGAAGATCGTGTTTCTTCAGCTGCGATAAAACTTTCGGTAACATTGCTATTTTGTTGGTAGCTGGTTTTAACTGCTGATTCAATTTCCTGTCCTCCTCTGAAGCATTACGCATATCCGCTAATAATTGCGCTATTATGTCATCATTGTCGTTAATGATGTCAATGTCTTTGCGCTTACGTCTTCGTGTTTGTTCCTCCTTCTTACGTGCCAACATACGATCAAAGTCTGACATGTGATCGTTCTCTTCTCCACCACCTTCTCGCACTCCTTCATCAGAATCTTCGCCTTCATCCACTAAGCTACATTGTTTCGGTGCCTCCTCACCCTCGTCTCCCAGTATTCTTCTCTCTGTATTGTCATCTTCTGCATTTGTGGATGTTTTCTCTTCACTCTCCTCCTCCGAGTCTGCAATTTGGTGCTTTAGTTTTTTATCCTTAATTACAGCTTCGGCCTCCGAATCAGAATCTGAAATTCGTCGTTTTCGTTTGACACCGAGTGAACTCCCAGTTGAGTCTGTGCTGCGACTTCTACTACTCCTTCGCGAACCCGATCTCGATCGAGATTTCGAACGTGAATGCGATCGTGATTTTGAACGAGAACGTGATTGTGCTGACCTTGAACGCGAATGTGATCTGGACTGTGATTTTGATCTAGATTTAGACCTTGAACGTGACCTAGAAGGTGATCTTGATCTAGAACCTGATACAGAGCGTCTGGATATTGGTTGAGAGTATGAAGAAGCTCTAGAGCCAGATCTGGATCTTGATTTCATTAAACGCGAACGTGATCTAGACCTGGATTTACGTGAACCGGACGCCGATCTGGCAGATCGTGACCTAGACCTCGACTGAATAGATTTTGAACGTGACACGGATCTTGATTTAACCGATCTAGAAGATGAGCGTCTAGATTTGGCAGAATCAGAACGAGATCTGGACCGCGATTTAACAGAACGTGATCGCGACCTGGATTTCGACTTCACTGAACGGGACCCGGACCTGGCGTTAGCAGATCTTGATCGCGATCTGGACGTCGATTTGATTGAACATAATTTGGATTGGCTAGATTTGAATCTATTGGAAGCTAGTGAGCCTTGAGGTGAGCCTAAATGCGAGCTGGATCGTGAATTTCTGGTATCTGAAGAGTCTCGTCGGAATCTCGAGTCAGATCTAGAGTGAGAATACCTCACAGCTGGAGAGCCAGGTCTGGAAGATCCAGGAGAGTCTGAACGAGATCGTGAGCGTGAGTTTCTGCTAAGTGGAGAGCCATGCCTCGATACTGAACGCGACCGGAACCTATTTGAGGCTGTTGACCCAGCTCGTGATCTGTTTGAAACCAAAGAGGCTGATCTCGATCCCTTTGAAGCAAGAGAACCAGTTCTCGATTTATTCGAAGCTACAGAAGCTTCTCTTGTTCTCTTTGCAGTCAATACACCTGGTCTTGATCTATTTGAAGCAGTAGAACTTGTCCGAGACCGATCAGAAACTGCTGACCCCTGTCTAGATCGGTTTGATGTCACTGAATCCTCTTTTGACCCTGAACGTGACCTGAATCTAGTCCGGGGTTGACTCTCTGTGCCTGTAAAACTTTTTGAGCTCGACCTAGATCTTCTTGATCCTTGCGTACCTTTATTGAATTCAGGAGATTTGGATTTAGATCTTGATAGAGACTTCGCTCTCGACCAAAAGCCAGATCTGGATCTTGAAGGTTTCGATGCATTGTTAGGGCTGTTAGATCTTGACCTGAAGCCTTTGGAAATATCTGAGAGTGAGCGCGAACGCTCCTTAGAAAACTGTTCCTCTTTATGACTTAACTTCGGGGTCTCATTTCCTGCGAGGGACTGGGAGCCATTGCGGTGCTCTGGAGAGGTCGAACCGCTTTGTCTTGACGATTTTGCACGAGATCTTGAGGCGTTGTTCGTTTGGATTGGAGATTGACCATTGTCGTCGTTGATTATACTTGATTTTGAGTGGTTGGCTTCTGGAGACATTGGATCCTTCCGATTGGGCGAAGAATTCGGTGATCTGAAAAACAATTTTTTTTTCAACATTGTCGATTTTCATAATAAATATATGATGGGAGGTTCACAGAATGAAAAAATAAACATCGGATTCCTACTCATTGTACTAGCGTTTTTCTTGCACTACTGAGTCAGTAATCTTGCCGCGTCTTTCAACAACCAATAGTATTTTTCCGGGCTGCTGCGATGGTGTTTTTTACTCATGTGGCGTTGGCGTCCGAGCCGAAGGCAAGGACTGGCTAACCACACGTGTAAAAAAAACCATCGCAGCAGCCAGGGACAAGATTTTTTTGTAGTGATTTTCAAGTTTTTGAAGTTGAGAAGTATGCAATACCAATTTCCAGACGAGAAATCGTGAGAAGCAGTACAGAAAATAGTAGATTGTTCACCAAGGGAGGAAAACAGGACATTCTAATCCACACGCGAGTTTTGATGTCCTGTTTACCTTCCTAGGTACACATACTCTTTTTTCGTCATACTGCACGGTATAGTTCGATTTTTCTTCGTAAATGCAGGGATCGAGGAACGTGGGTTATGTCATTCCGAGGATCGTCAAAAACAACAGAAATCCGAGGAATGGAATAAGCCACTGTCCTCCCTTCATTTGGGGAGGAAAATCGAACTTTCCGTGCAGATGTGACGAAAAAATTTTTGTAGTGTTTCTCGATTTTTTATTCAGTCGGTAAAAGACGAAATAACGCTATTGTCAGTTGTCACTTATTTTACCGACTGAACAGAAAATCGAGAAACACTACAAAAATTTTTTTGGTTGCTGAGAAACGCGGCGGATTACTGACTCAGTTAGAAGTGCAAGAAAAATATATTTCTTCTCACGTTAGAAACTTACTCATTCATTGAAGTGTTTCGCTCCTGACTTTCAGAATAATCTGGACTTATCGACTGGTTGGTCCCCTTCGAGATTGATCGTGACATTTTGTCAAACTCACACTCCCATTCTTGACCTTCTCGATTAGCCTGGTTGTCGAAGTCTCTCTTCTCTTTTAAAAAATTTCATTGTTTTATTTATTATATTTTTTATGCATGCAAGTGGTATGCCTCATAAATATTATGTACGATTATTATCACATTTTGTATTGATTTCTAACCTGAAGGATGCATGAAAAGTTTATATGAGTTACGATTGATTCACTCAATCATTCGAGTTGAAGCAGCGGGAGTATCTTTAGTAGATGGTGATAAAATAATTTCGGAATTTGTTACACAGACACCAATTCGTTACAATACATGATGCATTTTATCAGAACAATAGAACGAGTTGTCGCAAATGGATTAAATCCTGAATACTAAACCAATGAGGATAGACTAAAGTAGAGGCTCAGTTCTCAGTGTTCAGGCGACCACCAAAACAGAATAAGTATCACCCCGTGGGAGGGATGGCGACATGGTCGACCGTCAGTAAAAATGAGAAACGGCGGCGCGGTGGGGACCAAAGAGGATTGACTAAAAGTAGAGGCTCAGATCTCGGGGTTGAAGTGACCCCAAGGCAAAAATAGTTCGACCCCAATGGAGGGATGGCGCCACGGTCGAATCTGACGGCTGGGCGACTGCCTGTGCGGGTTACTTGGCAAGTCGGCAGTAGCAATCCACTGTCACAGGGATAATTTCGGAGGGAAATTTATACTCTCCTCGTCCTCAACATGTTCTTAATGATTTTCAGGTGATTCATTTGCTGGCTAATTAATATTAAGGAATGAAACCCAGACGGTGTGATGGAGAATTAAATTCGCCATCAATCGATCCCCGTTGCATCCCTTAATCTCTGTAACAAAAAAATACAAACTTCGACAAAAGTCATGGGCCAGTGAGAAACAATTTTCTTCTCGGCGCACAGTGACTTTTCACCATCCGCCCGCGAATTAAAAATTTGTCTTTCCCCTCCTAATTGAAATTAAGGGATGAAAAAAAGGCTGTTTGACGGAAAACTAAATTACCCATCAATTAACACTCTTTCATCCCTGAATCTCTGTAAAAAATGGAAGAAACTGTCATGGAAATCACAGCGCAGTAAGAAAAATAATTGTTTTGCGGCGCACAGTGAATCCCGGTAATTAAAAATTGACCTCTCCCCTCCTAATTGAGATAAAGGGATGAAAAAATGGCAGTTCGACGGAGAATTAAATTCTCC